AATGTAGATGATACCTTATTTAATATGTCAATGTTTATTTATATATAACTATTTAAAAAAGATAATGATACTTTGACAACATTTTTTTTACAACATTTTTTTGACAACATTTTAACATTATTTACGTATCATTCTGTGATTGGTCCAAAATTACTCCACAATCAATAATAATAATCATAAACACCAACATGGACCAATCAGAAAATGACACGTAGATGATGTTAAAATGTTGTCAAAAAAATGTTGTCAAAGTATCATTATCATTTAAAAAATAAGTATTTTAACACTTTTCTATAAGTCTCTTAATAATTTTAGTCAAAGTCTCTCTAAAATAACAAATAATTGTTTAAAGTCTGTCAACTGTGTTTACAAAGTGTAAAGGGGACAACTTGTTGCAAGATTATTAATTATTACATGGAGAGGTCACGGAAGTACACTTTTACTTTCTCAGTTCTCTGTTTAAAGTATAAATTAATTAATTAATCATTTAAAGTATTATATATATATATATATAAGGTAATATTGTTCATGATGACTTTCTCTTTCAATTAGTTGTCTATCTTTTACTTTTAAAATTAAAAATAATTAGTTAAATAAAAATTTGATGGTACTTTATGCATTTAAACAGTTTTGTTTTTCTCAAATATTCTTCATGCTTCTTTGCACATTCATCCAACAATTAAATGACATTGAATAATTTATTTTTATAGTCTCTCTCACTGTTCTCTCAATAATAATAAAGTTGTATAAAATGAAGCGAAAGAATACAATAGCATGTCATGTGCATCCACAATTTATTACTAGTAATAAACTTTTTGTTTCTCTATGTATGCCTACAACCCATATTAATATATGACGCTCGCCACAATTAATTAATATAATAAATTGAATTAGGTCTCCACAGAGTTAATATAATAAATGTGAAAGGCCCAAAACGTGTCTCGTTCTTCCATTGAATGCGCTTTAAAAATTCATAATGGTGGGCCAAATTCTAAGCCTTTTTGGTGGACGCGAAAGGCCCATGTGAAAGATTACTGTTATTTTTCTATTTTTGTTAGCTCAACATTTGGAGAGTATTAGTAGTAGTAGTAGTCATGTAAATGACTAAATTTTAATTAGTTTTATTTTTTAAAAATGAATTGTTAGTTATTTGATTTTGGTCTCCGATGATGTCTACTTGCTCTTGCAAAATTATTATTTTTTCTTTAAAATTATATGTAAAGGTGCTTTACACGTTCACAGATTTTATTTTTAAAAAAAGTTTGTAATAAAATAATATTGATGGGTTTTTGCGTGTATAAAAAAATCCAACACAGAATTAGTTGGAAAAAAAAAGGAAAAAGAAGAAGCGTGTTTTGCTGAATATTTTGAGTCGCTGAAAAACAAAACTACTATAATTCCACGCATAGCTGCTTCATTTTGACTTTGAACAAGTGGAAAGTAAAAACTCGTTGACCAAAAAGTAATATTCGTTTCTTCTAGAAGTAATTCTCTATTATTTGTTAAAATATTATTTGGGCCTCTTAATCATGAACACCGGTGCTTTTATTTTTTTCACTTATATATTTATATATTTAAGAGTGCTCTCTCACTAGTTATTATTATTATTATGTTAAATTTTTATGACTTGTAACATTGAAAAATTTCCTTGAATATTTAAGTATATATAATTATTTCACGTTTGACGTCTAATATTTTTGGTGTAGTCTGAGAGTCCCTACAATCATCAACTTCTCCTTTCACACTCATCCAATCGTAATACAAAATTAACTGTCACATTTTCTATCAAACAATGTAATGTTTGTGCTTACCAACATTTTATGTATTAAGAATAAATTTTAGTATTAAATATGTATTTTATTTTTATTTTTTTTAGTAAAAATTGGAATTATTTTTTCTTTATAACTTTATTCGAATTTAGTTTTTTAATTTTAGAAATGTTTAAATTTAATTTTTAATTAAATTTTGTTAATTTTAAATGTATTTATTTGAGTTTTTTTTTATATTGTTTAATACATTTTTTTTTAATATTAGTTGAAAAAATGTATTTAAAATCTTAAACAAAGTTAATAAAATTTAGTTAAAATATTAAATTCACGTAATTCTAAAGATAAAGAACTAAATTAATTTAAAATTTTAAAAAAAACTAATTCTAATCTTTACTTAAAATTAAAGAAAAAAACTTATTTAACCCTAAAATATTAAAATAGAAAAAGAAAATTACAAATACTAGTTTTGTGCATTGAGGAATCTATACATGATCGTGTTTTTAATTTACCAGAACTTAATACTGTGCTAACATGTGAAGCCCATAAACAAAGTTGTTGCGAGAAGTAAATAAGTAATTTTTTAAAATGGAGGGAAATGGGGAATGATTTGAATTATGGGTAAAACTAGTAAAATAATAAAGTAGGAGATTATATAATGATTTGCTTAACTCGTTAAATCAATATAATGCTAAAATTAATTTTATTGAAGTTTTTATTTAAATAAAAATGTATGACTTTAGACTTTAAATGAATACTGATAAATACAAAAGGACAGGTCTATTTATATTACTACAATAAATTGTAATATTTGTGATGAGTAAAATTGTAAATTTTAATAATTAAAAATATTTATAAATGAAACTTTTGATATTTAAAATAAACGTGAGATTTATTTGTGACAAAATTTTGTCACATGTATAAATGCTGGTAAATTTACTTCAAAAAGAAATAAAAAATTTACTGGTTCAAAATGTTAAGTTTATAAAAAAATAGTCATTTCTATATAATAATCATTTGAGTATAATGGATTCTGATACTATTTGTTAGATTTATAAAGTGAAGGAGACACAACCTTGAGAGTTAGGTCTTGACATTATCCTCTATAAAAAACCTTAAAGTAATGGATTAATGAGTCTTCATCTTTATATAGCATTCTGCTTTTTCAATTATATCAAAGATTACATATACTCACACTTAGAATTTTAACACAAAACTATCACAATGTATATTTTATTCTTATTTTCATTTGATATTTCATTAATGTTTAAAATTGCAACAAAATTCACTTTTATTTTATTATAAAATATCACATTTTAATAATTAGAAATTGTCACACTTTGTTTAAACATTTTTTTTTACTTTTCATTAAAATTTTCAAATTCAAAAATGTATTTATTAATTATTTTTCAATAATTTTAGAATCAATAATTAAAGTATCTAATTTATTTAAAATTATTTCAAATAATAGTAGTAAAAATACATTTATCTTAATAGAAAAATTGATAGATTAAATGTATAATATAACTAATAGTTATCATGAGATAACGACATAAAAATGTACAATTATTTATAGGCCTGTCCATTAAACTATAGTTTCCTAAAAGCCAATGTTTATTTATTTACATGTATATATATTATATATAATGAGATGAAATTTTACAATTGATTATAGGCCGCCTCAATAAACTTAGTTTTTTTAATAAGTTTTACAAACATGGATTTTAAAATATAATGTAATGTTATGATTTTAAGTTGATAGAGTAACATAAGCCCATCATCATATAATCAATCAAGATATTGATTATTTTGAAGCTTCGTTTGTCATGATTTTATTTTAAAAAGCGTATCGAATAATGAAAGAAAAAAATATATATTTAAATCACTTTCTCGACTTAACTATTAAATATAATAGAAATAAATAATGTATAATATAACTATTTTGCATTATTGATACACAATCATTGAATTTGTTAAACCATTAACGTTTTCGGATAGATAAATCTAGAAATTATCACTGGTTGACTACGCATAAAGTCTAAAATTCTACTCAGTTATAAATTATAAGGAGATAAAATTCCGACTTTACACAATTAAATTGTAAAGTAAAAATAAAGAAATTTAAATCCGGCAAGTGATGGTGGAATAAAAAAAATAAGTAAAAGATGACAATAAAAGACAAAGAAAGAGATGAAAGGAAACAATTGGTAAGACATGGGGAAATTAAAAAATAATGAAAAAGAAAAATAATTGAGAAAAAAGATATTTATATAAAAGGGACTTTAGCAAGAAAGAGAATGTGATGGAAAAGAAACATGAGAAACAAAATGGTTACTTTAATTTATAGATACAGAGCACTAAGTTGTGTGCATGTTGCATAGCTTTTATTTAAAAAAGGGTCCTCCTGCATAGGATGCCAAAATCCCACGTACCTAATCCTTCTATTAAATTCATCAAAAGAAGATAAATGAGAACCCATCTTTCAAAGCTCAATATAATCTAATGTTTATGCGCAATTGACAAATTTATCACTGTGTTGGTAAATTGAAATATGAGTTGAAAAGTCTTATATACAATAGAAAAGAAAAAATTAAAACAATATCAACTGTTTACGTGGATTAAATTGATAAGTAATATAATAGAACAGAAAATTCAATTCAGTTTTTTTTTCATTTGAATAAATTTAAAAGAGAATGAGTGAATGAATTTAAAAATACTTTTTTAAGAGAAAGTGATTGAATGAATTTAAAGATAATTTTTTTGTAGTTTATTTGGATAGATTTTAAAAATAAATGAGAGTGAATTTAAAAATAAATTTTTTTAATCTATTACATCAATCAAATTTTACACTAATTCTTACAAACTTTACTTTTAAATCCACTCTTATTTATTTTCAAAATCCATTCAAATAAAAAACAAAAAATTTTACCTTAAAATTCTTTCAAATTTATTTAATCACTTCCTGGATTTATTCAAATGAACAAATATTTGATGATTTTGAGTTTTGGGGTTCGAAAGACCGCAATACAATCGTTATGACTTCCGGACGTCACGCTTTCTTTGTTTTCAACTTTAATTTAATTTTCAGAGAGAGTAAGTCATCAACCTTCTCCTAATTCAATAATCAAAACCAATTTTGCCACCAAACAAAAGATTGACAGCGAAAGGCGTCGAGACAGATGTGACACATGTGTTCAACATTCAAATAAAAAAAATATATTTGTATATATATATATATATAGGAATGTCCAATTTAAATTTCCATATATAGTACAAGAAACAGGAAAGAAAGAAAGAAAAAAAACAAAACTGTAGCGGATGAAGGGAAAGCTAAATTTATTTGTTATCCTAAAAAAAATAAAAATAAAAAAGTGAATTCATGAAACACAGAATGATAATAATCGCAAGTTCCAAACACACTCCTGGGTATAATCTCATGTCTCTAATAGAAGAAAGCCGCTGCAAGTGAAAGAAGGGTGGCAGAAACTCCAACGAGTCCGAGAGATGCAGCTCCGGAGTTCTGTGGGGGAGGGGCGAGAGAGCCTGAGGGAGAAGGGGTGGAAGGGTTGGTGGAGGGAGAAGAGGGGGAAGGAGGGGTAGCGCTGCTGCCGCTGCCGCTTCCGGTGACATTGATGGCGAGTTTTTGACCTCCTAGACAGTGCCCTGGAACTCCACAGATGAAGTAGTGAGCACCGGTTTTGTTCAGGGTGACTCTCGCGGGTGGAGTGGTGTAAGTGGCAAGAGGAGAGGTTGAGTTGCAAGAATCATAATCCTCCTTTGTCAATTCTTCTACGTTGTGTGCGTTAGATTGGTAGTTGAACTCTGCAAAACACAAACAATAGATGTTTTGTCGTTAGTTGTTTGATCAAGTATGGATGAGACATAATCTCTTAAAATTAATTATGGATGTTGGGTTACCTAGTACGTCTCCAACCCTGAAGGTCTTGCCAGAGGCCCAGGATGTGTAAGCTTCAGCACCGTTAGTGGGAACGGTCCAGCCCAAGTTGTCTCCAACAGTGAAAGTGACTGGTCCGGCGGATGGGCCTGGAGCAGGGGCCGGGACAGTGCTTGGTGCTGATGCTGGTGCTGCTTCTGGCACAGTGCTCGGTGCTTGTGTTGGTGTGGGGACGGGGCTAGCCGTGGGTGGAGAGCCACTCCTACTGGGTTGAGGGGCAGGGGAAGGAGTGGCAGAAGCTCTGTTAACAACGTTAACGGTCAATTTCTGACCGAGGGAACAGTGTGATCCAAAGGTGCAAATGTAATATTGTTCCCCTGTCTCGTTCAGCGTCACCGTCGCCGGACCAGAGAGAAGGGTGAAGATGGTGCTCGCACCGTTGCATGCGTCGTAAGCTGATTTCGTAACCTTAGCCACGTCGTGTTGACCGTTGGTAAAGTTAAACACTGCAAAATTCATCGATTAAAAAAATTCTTAGTTGTAACCCACACCGATGCATACATTTGTAATTTTAATAACACATAAATTAATTAATTGGAAGATTTTGGAGATTAACGTACCGAGAGTGTCACCTACGACGAAGGTTTTGCCGGAAGCCCAGGCGGTGTAGGTTGCAGCACCACCGGAAGGGATGGTCCAGCCGGTTGAATCACCCACGACGTGTCTGGTCTGTGCAGCGGAGCCATGAAGCAGGGTGGCTACTGCAAATAACACAAGAAAGAAGCTTCTCGCCATAGATACGTGTTCTTGGTGGTAAGTCGCCCCTTTTTGTTTCTGGACAAGATCTCTGTGTGTTGTTCTTTTCTCCTTCTTTCTCTTGTTCTCTCCGTCAATGAACTTTTGATGTCGAATGCCAGTGTCTTGGTTGGTATTTATAGAGTAAGGGTAAATCAGTCGTTAGATGACGCGTATAATTATTTTTAAAGATTATTTTTAAGATATAATCAGATTATTTAAGATAATATATAATCTGTTAGAAAGATGACATTTCACTAAAAATATTATATAAAATGATAAGCAGTATATTAAAAAAATTATTTAAGATATAAGTAGATTATTTAGAATGATATATAGTTTGTTAAAACACATCATATATAAGGTAATTGAGTGTATATTATAAAAATTATTTGAGATAAGAGATTATACGTATTAGGTGTAGATTAATTGTTTTTGAAACGAGATATATTATCGTTTTTAATAAAAGATAAGAAGTTAATTTTGATAAGTTTTTAAGGGAAACGGTTAATTAAAATATTAAGATAAATGATTGGGTTAATAAATTGATTGAGTTAGTTAGGTGAAGAAAATTGGCGTGATGAGGCAAAGTTGGAGCCTGCCGAGATTTGAGACTTGGACAAAATTTAGAGCGATAGCCGCGTGAGCTGAAACAGATCTCACCAAAACAATTTGACTTGTAGCGTTTACCAGTCTCCGGTTACTGTTTGTACGCGAGCCATGGACGTGGGCTCAATATCTTATTATCCTCAACATTGTTTTATTGTTTTGGTTCTTGGTTGCGATGAAGTTGTAAAGTTGAATTATTTTTGGTAAGGAACAGTGAAAAAAACACAAGTTTATGTGGGAACATGAGAAAGAAGGGTGGTGGAGAAGTTGGATGGAAAATTCCACTTTCCATGGAGAATGAGAATGAGAACTGGTCAACGTTTCATGATTTGGTAATTCTGACTATCTTCGAAGGACAGCACACTGCACAGACTTTCAAACATACCAAATGCCGTGCTGCTCTTGTTTTGTACGATGTGGACAATGTGATTGCACCTATTTTCCTCCGAGTCAAAATACCGTTCACTTTTTCTTAATAAACATTCACTTATATATTAGAAATATTAAATTTTAAGAACTTCGTCCATCGTTTTAATTTCTCTCTTACATACTTCTTGTGTGTGACATGCTTACTGTTAGTTGTAACTTTTGTCTTTTTACAGTTTCAGTCATCGAAGTTAAACATTGGAGTGTGTTTATTTCAATAATCAGAAGAAGGTTCCTTAAAATACATGCTAATGTAACATTTTGAGTGCTAGCTCCTCCACCACCACTGTATCATCCTATATACAATTTATTCGGAGATTTACATCTGTTTATATATCATATATATATTATAATATATATAGTAATATATATATATATATATATATATATATTTTTTTTTTTTTTTTTTTTATATTTTAGTTTTATTAATTTTGTTTTACCTTTTATCTTTTCCTCCTCTTTTTTCTTTCCCCTCTCTCTTTTTCCCCCCCCCCCCTTTCCCTATCTTTTCTCCCCTTCCTTTACCCTCTCCCCCACCTTTTCCCTCTTCCTTTCCCCTCCCCTCCCTTCACTCCCCTCAAGCCCCCCCCTTTGGTCCACGTATTATTGCCCCATCCTTTCAACGTATCTATCAACCTAGTTTTCATTCATCCATCACTCCCCTTACTTAGTCCTCATTGTTTTTCTTCCTCTACCCTCCCCTTACTTCTCTCCTTCGACTCTCCCTCTTTTCCCCCCCCTTCCCTCCTTTTCTCTTCTTTCCTTCCCCCTACCCCCTCCATCAACACCTCAAAAACCCAGCCCACCTTCAACACCTATAGCCTTCGTTTGTTTTACCTTTTCTTTCCTTTAACTACTACCCTATTTCTTATGATTTTTTTCTATCATTATTATATTCCTATGTCCCATCCCCTATAGTATTACCATTTCCTAATCCACTTTCCCATGATTCCAGTGCAGTCTTACTATCACTATCAAGCCGAACGTTAATTAAATACAGGGTTCAGAAAATTTAATACAGGATACCAAGGTCCGATGACGAACGGTTACAAAAACTAATAACCGACGTCAAAAATTTTAAGTAAACTAAGCCTACTGAACGATCTAAGTTCTCGGCCTTCACTTCAACTTCCACCAGGTTTTTCTTCTTCACAAATTCCTCCAAAAGGGTATCGCCATTGCTCACATCCCACAGATGATCATTGCATTGACAGGACGGACGTACATAAACACAGACAACACAAGGAAACTCAAGGGTAAGCTTAGGTAATTTAATTCATACAATTAACATACAATTAACATATGCAAATCAACATACACTACACACAACAACAAATATATATCAGTATAGAATTAATCATCCAAACTCTTACAAGACCGACCGTCCGGACTGTAGGAATCCATGTATCTACAGGCGTTCGTGCACTCGGGTGATGTGATAACTGAAAACACTCAACAGCTGCCACCCGAGGTTAGCCCTAATCAGTTCAAATTACTCATTAGACTAGACCTCCTCCATCCCACACATGACCTACTCCCCTCTACTGAGGACGAGCACTCACGGAATATCAGGATGAACAGCCATCAGCAGCTTTACCATGGTCAACTACACCACTTCCCACATTCAAATCATAGAGACGTTCCTTCTTGGAACGCTCGTTCAAAATCCATCATCATAAAATTTCTCCAAACAGGGCACACTTCAGATTTTCACTTTAATTTCATTTTCATCTTAGTTTTAAGGGGGTAAAATAATGAATGTTCAATCCTCTGAAGAACGAGGACGAACGCTAAAGACTGGATTTACGCAACCGTTCCAAGATTGTAAGAAACGACACTAGGTATTTAACACGTTGTGGCTATTCAATCAGTTGAGGGAACTGAACTCTACAGTTATGAAATCAATATTCATAAAAAAAAACTAAGTATACAGGCTCTAGACCGAATCCAATGTATAAGAATACAAAAGAGAAGTATTTAACTTTACGAGATAATCATTCAAAAGAAATCGACTGCCAGTGAATGACCGACCGTCAACTAATATTTTGGACGAACGCTATTTACTCTCCGTGCCAAGATCAAGGATAAGGACGATCTTCAGTATAAAACCGAACCTACTTAGGACGAACGCTAGGGTAGAATGACCAAGCACTAATTTGAACGAACGTCGGTATAAGACCGATAGTTCATTTGGACGAACGCTTAGTATAAGACTAAACGCTACCTATAACGAACGCTGGACAAAAAACCGAGCGTTACTATTATAACTTCAATATTACGATCATTGGGTACCACTAGGCTGTGCCGAACGCTCAAACCTAGCCTTTCACAAGAGGGCGCTCGTTCTCAGCAGAGTTCCTTCCAAATGAAAGAATTCCATTCTAAGTTTATTTTCAGGGAAACCGAACGGTATAAGACCGTTCGATGACGAGCGTGCATTATCAAGGTAGAAATATCATATTTTTCAGATTTTTCATCTCACATCTAACTCCACATTTTCATACCGATTCATATCTTATAATTTTATCTCCATCATAAATCACATACTTTATAGATTCATATTATCATCTCATACTCTACATAACTTATCCATTTTTTTTCCAATTCATACATTTCATCATCAACATACAGTTCAAACAATATCACCATATTCAATCAAAACATGTTTTCGTTCATGCATCTTTACAAAACATATACTCATATATCCAGTTCACATCATCACATCATGCTTTCATTTTTCATACAATTATCAATTAAATTACTAAGATTCCCTTACCTGGTTCAGTAGTGAACGTCCTAAGAGAGATTTTTTTTTTATTCGCCCAACTATGGCTTTTTCTTCCGCTCAACGACTTCCTTAAGTCCTTCACTAAATCTAATCAAGAGAAACGTAGAAGAACTGAGATTACATCCCTGATGCAGTTGAGTCTGGGCTCACATGAACTCCAGAAACGAGCGTTTAGAGTTCAGAGGCTTACCGTTTCAGAATCGGAAGTTGTTCGGTTCAGATTAAGCTCACAACTCCGGAAATGCTCTATGGTTTCTGAAACGTATCGGAGGAGATGGTGGTGTTATAGTAGAGAGAAGAATGGAAAGGTTTCTAGAGAGAAGGAGGAGAGAATGGGGTCTGAGTTTGGAGGAAGAAGATGAGTGCAGGAGAGAGGGAAGGGTTTTCCAGAATTTCTTTTTGTTCCTCCCACATCCGCACGAACGTGCGTCTCCCCTTCGACACCTGTACCCCCATTAGTGACTCCCATCCTATCTCGGTGACACTTGGCAGTGAGTGGCAGAGTTATGAATGTGCGTTTTTAATGCACTGCAGAGGGGTTTCCATACATAAATTTTGATTTGAGAAGGTGTTTATCAGAATTAATTTTCCAGGGTCCCACACATAATAAGTTAATTTATTTTATTTAAATAAATAATTATTATTAATTTAGTTAAATTATAAATTTTTTTAATTAATTATAATCAACAGTGTTTAAGTTTTTTTTAGTTTATTTAAATAGTATATTTTAATTAATTTATAGATTATTATAATATATTACGTAAATTAATTTAATTTAATTTTATTAAATAATTATTATTAATACAATAAATTAATTAAAAATTAAAAGAAAACATAAAAGTTAAACGGAAATAACATATCAATTAAAAAAAAATTATTTAACGGATATCGACATCTATTAAAATAAAATAAAATGAGGTGTAAAATTTTTTAAAATATAAAGATTAATTTTAGAATTTTTTATAAATATGATAATGCAATAAACAATATGGGTGGCGTATGCAGTAACCCTCTGACAATTTTTATGTTTCTTACAAACTAATAATGCTGGGAATTGTCAATTTCTGAGAAACTTACAGCTTCTGTTTCTTATTTTGTTTCTCTACTTGTAGGATGAATGTGATTAGTATACAGGAGCATTTTTCAATGAAGATGAAAACCTTTAGAAAATAGCTACATTAAACTAATTCTCATCTTATAGTAGAATGTGATTACCTTTTTCTAAATTTAGTGATTTCAAACTCAGAAGATATTAATGTTTTAATACCAAATATGATAAACATA